ATCCATCCATCCATCCATCCATCTTCTGCTTATCTGTCAGGGTCACGGTGGAGTGCCAGTCTGTCTCAGGGAAATCCAAAACCCCTTTCTCATTGGCAGAAAAACCCGGGAACAATTGGCTTTCAGTGCAAACGGCTCACTGACCTGCATTGACCCGGGTCAAAGGAGGCTTAAAAATTGCCTTGAGATGGTTCAGTTCTAATCAGCATTACAGAACATCAGACCCAGGTCGATCCAGTACAGTAATTTATGTGTTACCGCTGATCTAATGCATATGTTATCGCAATTATGCTAAATACCAAAAGCCAACATGAAAACTGCACAAGAACACCCACTCATGTCGTTAATTTCCACTGGAGAGCTGGGAAAATTCTATGATACCTGAGCCACTGAGATTAGGTAAACTTTGACGTTTCATCTATGCAGAAAGCAGAGGAACTATTCTGTATGGTGAATACTCCATTGATAAGCTTTTTCTACTGTGGCATTTGTAGCTTACTCAATGCTGTAAAATATATATTTAAAAAATATATATGTTTCAAAATCAAACATTATTGTTTGATTTTAGCAGATGCTCGCTAGCAGTCATTTGATGCAGTTGACCCATCCTCCTCTTCCTGTAGCAGATGAATTAGGAAGTCCAACTGTCTTGCCAAAGTAGCAGATCAGGACAATCTTTAGATCCAACATGTTTCTCTTCTCTACCACAACAAAAGAGCTTGAACACAATTTGCTGGTTATTTCCACTTTTATTTCCACTAGTTAGGATCATCTTTACCATACCACATGAAGGCAGCATAACAAGCCGAAACAACATTGCTTATATTAAATAAACATGGCACAGCAGTAGTGAGAGGGATTCGGACAGAGCTGTTTTTTCTGCACTTCATCCAGTCTCAGTCAGCTTCTTATTAAGCTATTTTACTTGAAAATCCTTCTTCTGTTTTTCTTTTTCTTTTTTTTATTAGGCTTGGATAAAGAACACTGTAAACAACCAGCTTCTTAAGCAATAAGTTGTGTAGCTTACCCTGTTTGTTGAGTCAGTGACTGTCTTCTGCATGTCTATCCATTTAGAATTCCTCCTCGTTAATTTTCTTCCCTAGGGATCCACAAGAAAAGGCAAATCAATACATTGGAAAATATTTACAAGTGTTTTGATTAAGTTTTCAATTACCTGATTAGTGTATCACACCAAGGCTTCCCAATACTTAAGTTTTTCACCTTATTTAAATTTTTCCAGATGCTGAATTTTGGATTTACTCATCTGTAAGCCATGTTTCTTACAATTGCAATAAATTAAGGCAATTTTACTCTATAAATCCAAATAGTATCAGCTTTACATGTTCAACTTTATTGCAGTTTAAATGGACCTAAAACAGACTTAAAGGTATCTGCTAATTGGTAATGCATTATGTTTAGAATTTTCGAAATAATTTCAACAATACATAATAATATTACATCAGGCTTTAATGTTAACTTGTATTGTACTGCTTCTTTACGTACTTCAGTCAAGACATTGGACAGTAAAAGGCACTTATTTCCTTGACAGTATTGGTGTTTCATGTCCTGGTTATCTATTTACCTTATAGAAAGTATTTACAGTATGAAATCACCAGACTTACAAAGCCTCCCTGTGGATAAAAACCTGTCCACTGGGATCGATGAATAAAAATGGATTCACTTATCAATTTTAGTGGTTTTTGCATTGTCCTCTCCCGGTATATTACCGTAGCTTATCATCTGCTAGGCTTCAGCTGACATCAGCAGGCCTTGTACAAATTATGTATTCCATCCTTGGTTGGACAGGTCACTGAGAACATAATGGGAACTCAGGCTAGACAAAAACCCTTTTCAAACAGCCCTAACAAAGCTAGTTCAGCATGAAATCTAAGATTAGCTTTTGTTTTAAAATAAAATCTAATAAACATCTAATAAACACCTGTTCAGTTAGCGTCATTCAAATGTTTGATTATGGTGATTTCCCTTATAGAACGTCATGCAGGTAGCCTATGCACCCTAAGCCCATCCAAAGACTGTTGCAGATTTGCTGTTGTGTCCAATTTCTTCTATTTTGTAATAGGTATGGAAGTTGGTGGTTGAATATTAAGTAGAGAAGAGTTTTCACTTACTGCACAGTTGGCTTCATATCCTGGAACTGCTCTTGAGTTCACTGAGCTCCTGGGAGCAATCCATTCTTTGAAGAATGTTTGTAGAAGCAGTCTGTATGCCTAAATGTTTGAATGTTTGCACACGTGGTGAAAAACTTTGGAACACCTCGGTCCAGTGATCTGCAGAGGTGGCCAAGACTTGAATTTTTGTCAACATTAAATATTAAGAACATTTTCACAAAAATTAGTATGAAGTTATTCAGGTCAAATAGGAACTCAGCAACCACATAAATAAACTGACTGTGTTCTACTATGCTGAATAAAAGAGAATTAATCATATGAATTCTATCTTTTTGTTTCTCTGATGTTGCTTCTTTATTCTTATCATGTTACCTTTTGTTATTCAAAGAAGACAAACATTTAAGAATGTTTGATACGGTACAGGTTAGTGAAGTGTATGCTATAGGGGTTGCATGTATTCTTTTTAAACTCACCGCAGGAAACCTACAAAATACCACAGACACAAATGATGACTCTGAACTTATTTAAATCCAAACCTAGAGACAACTTCCTTCCTGGCAGCCACATAGTCAGTGCTGGCAGTTAAATACTGGCCACCAGCACCAAAACCACAGTGTCTGTTTTCTGTAGCATAACATATGAACTTGTTTAGCTTATAGATTATTTTATATGCACAACTCTGTCAAGCATGTTGTTCTTGTTTGTAAGAATGCATGAATGTCTCAACCCCGGTCATGAAGGAGATGTGGCAATGTGTACAAGAATGAGGAAGGTCTTATTAGAGTGAATACCGTACATAAGATGAGCAGCTTGAATTATAGTGGTAGTACAAATAATTGACCCAGGCAAGCTGAATTCATTAGGTTTTTGATTGTACACTTTCCTTTTTCAATCTTAAGCTCCACTTTGTGTTGAATTATCAGACAAGAACCTAGTAAAGTACATTATCATTCATGGTGTATCATTAAGAAATTCAAATATGTGAATACTCCTCTGAGACACTCCAGATGTTATTTAAAGAGAGAATGGAATTTGGATTTTTTTCTTTACTTGAGCAATTACATATATATATATATATATTCTACATTCTGGTTGGTTATTATTAAAGTTGTTTTGGATACTCCTGTTGCAATCAGTTTAAAACAGGAAATGAAGTCAAACGTGTTTTCTCTGACACTAAACTTATACTAATATGTGCTTAACACACCCTCTCACACAATCTCACTGCTGCATAAACAAGTTTCCATAATGTCTGTGTACTGGTTCTGGTTGCTTATATAAATAGAAACATGTGATAAGAGTCTTTTAGATAAGAAAGGATGAGAGATTTCTGATTCTTTAGCTTTGCAAAAAAAGAAAAAAAATCGGTAGACCAAAAGAACAAAATTAAAGGTGATTATTGAAGAGGAGATGTTTTATGGGGTGCAAGGTGGTGCAGTGGCTTGCACTGTTGCTTTGAAGCAAAAAGGTTGCAGGTTCAATTCCTGGCCCAGGGTCTTTCTGTTTGGAGTTTGTTTGTTCTCCCCTACCCTCACCTTAGGTAAATTTATTCAAGTGTTTGTATGCATAGAATAAAATGTCTAGTCTCAAAGCTGCAAATGTATCCATCTATATATATTAAGATAGGGATGTGTCTCCCTCCACCCGCTTAAATTTTTATCCTTTGTACAGACATGTGCAGGAGTGCCCATGAAAACGAGAACATTTTAAAATTTGCGGACAATGCCATTATCAGTTATTATCAATAATTAATCCACTATTTTATTGGGTGATATAATGCCTCCTTCTTTGGTGCTAAACACATCCACAGCAACGTACATGGTTACTGATTATAGAACTCATTCACTTATGATCACACAGTTCCAATGCGTTGAAAGAGAGGACAGCGCCAAATATATTGGCACTACAATTGATGACAAACTGACTTTCATCAAGAACTGTGAGGCAGTAGGTAGGAGGGGACATCAGAAGCTGTTCCATCTTTGAAAACTGTTCTTAACATTGATAGGTATATGTTGACCCTTTTTTATCATACTTTCATTAAGTTGCTATTATCCATCTGTTTGTGCTTAATTCCAGCAGGATAGTGCAGCAAGTCACTAATATCAAAACATTCTCCTTTACTCACATAGTGTGTTCCAAAGTCACTGGGACATCATCCACTCAGTCTCGATCTTGTGATGGAAGCTAAATTTACAATGTGGACCTGCGGCTGCATGACAATATGATGTCATTGTGCATCAAGATTTCTCTGTAATGCTTGCAATATTTTGTTAAATTCAGAAGAAAAAAAAAATAGAAGCAGTTTTGAGGGCAGAGGGTACCCAAATCAATACCATTAAGATTAGCATAAGTAAAGAGGCCAACTAGTGTAAGTCTGTGTTTGAGATATAAGTTTACTTTGATTTATTTCAATGAGAAATTGGATAATTCTACAGCCCCATGACTTGCTGCAATAGATAGTGCTGCACAATTTTCAAATCTGTTGCAAAAAATGACAATTACAGCATGTTGTTTGAATTTATTTGTCTTCTTTTCAATACTTCTTGAATTATACCAAATTAAACTAATATGCAAGAGGTCTCTTGTGTTCAGCTTGATAAGAATGTCCCAATTACAGTAAGTCTCTTTATACTTCAACTATATAAACTCACTTTGAACATCAATGTATTGATATATTTTGATTCAATATAAGAAAACAGGCCTGTTTATATTTGCAATCAGATAAAAATCCATTAATTGTAATCTAAAGGGAATAATTGGAACATGCTAAAACCAGGAAGTTTTTTTGTTTTTTGTTTTTTTACTCAGCCATTGGGTGTTAACGCTACACTTGCGTGTTTTCTGGTTTTAAAAAACACGTTTGCCTTCTCTCTTCCTCATTTCAGTACAGGAAGTACGTTTGCAGTGTGATGCAGAGCTGTCACCGCACTCTACATGTTTTTCTGGTAAAGTCTCGCTAACATGAAACAACCCTGCTGCCACCCTGACCCTGTTTGGACAATAACCCTTATTGGCACATTTGAAACACCTGTAATGAACTGCTAATTCTATGGGTAAGGATTTTACTTTTCAGATCTTTCTCTTAGTTTTGTAATAGTCAGAGCAGTTACTTTTTTTGTGCAAGATAAAGGAAAACTATGTAGGCCTACAAATGTAATGTAATTTAATCATTATGTGAAATAGATACAAGTTGAATTTGAGTTTGAAAGGTTGCGTTTTGTAAAATGTTACTTCATGCAACCGCTATCAGTTTACTCTACACCATACTGGATGCTTCAATGGAAAATTCTACCCGATACCATCTAGCCTCAGCTTCCCCATTCTAAACCGAGCGTTTCGGATGCGATAGCATTATGGTCAACTCACAGTTACATGCAGAATACAGCAAGCAAAACAACAGAGAGACTTTAAGCAGCTGGAAAAAGGAAAATTGTTACATGTTTGTCTGTCCACCTCAGGTTGGATGCTGGTCCCCTGGAGGATGGGGAACATGATGCGAGGCGGAACTGCCAGCAGCAAAGTGAACACTGAAAACCAGGACAGTGCTCTAAAGGGTAGGCTTAATGCTAAATACTTCAAAACACCGTAGGGTTGAGGTCACTTTATTTAAAAGAACAAAAAGAGGCATGTTTGCACGGAATTAAAATGGAATGAAACAAAATCCTTGTCTGTGCATTATAGAAATTGGATTGTTTTATCAGAAACTAAATTGTGAAAACAAAACTCGAGCTGACTTTCTATATATAGAATCGTCATCTGTATGAAACTAAAGTACATGCTATTTACTAAAAAATAAAGTAAATTTTTTTATGTTTGAAATAATTAAACATACGATCAATGCAAAGATGCAACAAAAATATATTCCTCCCATTTAGCCTGTATACACATTTGACATTTTTCCTTATGTTAATCTGTTCTTAACTATTTTTATAAGTTAAAAGTAGTAGTACATAAGTTTATGTATTTAAATAAGAAATATAAATAACATCTCTCTTTTCTTTAATTTAGCAAAAAATGCCACCAGCCACTGCTAAAAAACATTTTGCACCACCTTATTGATTAGTTAGCTAGCTCTGAACAAGATAAAAACACATTTTCATAACATTTTCATAAAAATGGTAATTGGTAAGAGGTAATTTAAAGACTTTTCCTATAAGGCCTGTTTAAATACAGCAATCTGTATGTTAACTGCTGTAAATATGCTCCCATTCTGCCAGGTTCCGATGATGACATAGTAGTGGTAATCGACGACTACCCCTCGTTGGAAATAAGCGAGCCCATCTACAGAATGGGGGAGAAGCTAAGAGTCATTGCACAGTATGATTTCTGTTTCATTTATTTCAAGTCATCAAAACATTAACAAAGTTATGGGGAAACAAATGCAAAAAAAGAACCACTTTATGGTGTAACATCTCATTCTAGAGAAGTGCTCACCAGAAAGGGCAGCTGTTAATTCCTCTTTTTCTTTTCACTGTGGACAGGGAAGCTTATTGGTGGAAAGTTCGCTCTGTTGAGACAGGGAAGGAAAACTATATACCCAACAGCCATGTGGTGAGGGTTTATCACGGGTGAGTAGAACTAGATGTTCCTTCTCAACATGGGAGACACAGCCAACAGCAGAATAAATACTAGCTCTTCCTATTTTATCATGAAACTTCCTCCATATATATCATGTTTGTCTTGTTGCCAGGTGGCTGTTTGAGGGGGTGGGGAGGCAGAAAGCTGAAGAGCTGCTTCTTTTACCTGGGAACAGAGTGGGCTCATTTCTGGTGCGGGAAAGCACCACGGAGAGAGGTAGGAGCATGCAGAGCTATGTACCCAACACACGCTCACCTCCTAGGGTTAGAGTGACTTCAGTACCTGCTGCTTATCTGTATGTCCATTCATTAGGGAGGCGGTGGCCTACTGCAGCAGGCGCCTAGTGTAGGTTTTGTGTGTATGTTTGGTCATGTATTTGTGACCTTGTGGGGACAATTTCTCTGGGATATAGTTATTTGTGGGGGATTTATAAGTACAAGTGGGGACCAACAACTGTTCCTTATGAAGAGTGGAGCTGTTCTTTGGTTAGGTTTTAGGTTAAGGCCTAAGGTGTGAATTGAATTCAGTTAAGCTTAAGTTCAGGGTTATAAATGTAATGATTATGGCTGTATAGGGTAAGGATAAGGGTCTGAATTAGGAATTATAAATATATATCCTTAAACACAAATCTGTTGCATATCAGCCAGCTTGGACATGTCCCCCACCTTTTCATATACATATGTTACACGCACACCTACAAACCAAAAAGCATGCATGTCAATTTATATAAAATCTGTAAAAATGTATCTAATAAGTAAAATGAAAGAGGGAAATAAAATCATAAAATATATTTGAATAATGAAGAATGTTTGCCAAGATAAAGTTATTTTATTGCAGTAAAATTGTAAACATTAAAAAAAATTAACAAATCATTTCAAATTGAAGAAAAGTGTTCTGTTTTTTTTATTTGTAATTGGCAAGATTTTTCTCATCTAAGAGTTGCACACAAAGTGTGCGGTCATTTTCTGATTAATCCTCAAAATGAGTCAAGCAACTACAGTGAGATTCAAATGTATTATTTAGATATATGGATAAAAAGATAACTGTAATAGCATTCCATTATTTAGCATGGGCATAGATGTTTTAAAGGTGAAAAAAATCCCTCTAACAAATCATCATTTTTATGTTGAGTACAGACGTGTGTTACATTTAATAAATAAAAGGGGAATTAAACAAATAGTTTATTTTTTAACTGAGTTTTTGATTAAAGATTATAAGCAGTTTGTATATTTCCTGTTGATGTCTTTATTCAGTATGGATCCTGACCAGTTAATTCAAAAGGGCGAGTATAAGAACGAACTTTTAAGTGATGAAAGTAGACTTCTGCGTATATTTCTACTTATAATGACTTCAATCTGAAAAAAATCATAGAGAACAAGATAATATGCGATTATGTGAATGGCAATCTTTACATTTTCTGTTTGGTCATTTCCCAGACTACCAACACTAGAAGCGTTCTGTTTTTATAACATTTCACACATGAAGACTGGTGGCAGACCGTCGCCTACTTCTGGTGAACATGCAAATGATCACCGGCTTTTATTTAAGATTTTCCCAGTATTCATTTTGTACCACTTTTTTTTAGATATTTGAGCTGTGTAAGAATTGTTGGGGTATGCTTTGGGCTTGATTCAGCCTTCTGGACTAATTAATCTTGGTTCTGGAGGCTGAAATCAAAACCAAAAAATATCATGATTTAAATGAAGACACCTTAAGAGTTATTAACTGATGATAAAATAGTAGCTAGAGCTACAACCATACATCGGTTGACTGATTTTTGGGTCAATACGTGCATTTATTGGTTGATTGAAAAGTGCATTCAGCAGCCATGCCTTCAGATTGTGTGAGGCAAATGCGTTCGCTGCGCCCTCCATTTATTATTTATTGTTAATGTTTTGTAAAGTTTTTTAATAAACGTTTTATTTTGTTCAGATTTACACTTGTGTAACATTTGTTATCGTTATGCCTTTTTTATCATGTAAATGGAGGAACAGAGAGTAGAATCAGACTGAAAAAACAGCCCAAAAATATCAGCAGCACATATTCGGGGATCAGTTAGATTGATTAGTATTATTAATTAGTATCAGCATAAAAACCTTCATTGGTTGATCTCTAAAATCAACGGCTCACAATCTCGAAATAGAACATCCCTTCTTGAACTATTCCTTTATGTCCTTACTGAGCAGTCAAACAGGTGATTTGAACAGGTGAATTGTTAAATAATTTACATTAACATACAAGTTCATATCTTGCTGTTTAAACATTTTTATATTTTCCATATTTATGATTATCTCCAAAGTAATATTGCACAATGTCCTCAGGTCTGTATTCGCTCTCAGTGAAGCACAGGGCAGTGAAGCACTATCGGATCTTCAGACTGGACAACAGCTGGTACTACATATCCCCGAAGCTCACTTTTCAATGCCTTGAAGACATGATCAGCCATTATTCTGGTGAGTAGATGATGTAGAAACTCATGTATTTAAATAGAGTTACTGAAAATAATATGTATCTTCTATAAATAGAAACATATCTTATCATTTAGAACAATATATATACTTCCTGAAACATTTTTGGAACAAACCGGAAATTAGATAATGAATCGGTGATAGATAATAACAAGCCATGCACAACCTGCTTAATGAAACGCTGATAGCTGATGCAGAGCTATCTCATAGGTGGCAGGAATCTCCATTCTCTCAGTTTGGTTTAAGTGGTTTTTGCTTGAGCAATGAAGGGCATAAAAGCATAATGCAAATCTTAAAAACTAAAATTAGTTTGTTTTTAAAATGCAGCATTTAATTTCCACTCTCCCTTCCTCTTTAGATTCTTCAGATGGGCTATGCTGCACGCTAACCACCCCTTGTCTGTCTGGAAAAACCGAAACCTTGGACATGAACCCTGGACCGCCAACGGTGGTCATGCGACACAACTTTGATTGGACAAAAGTAGAGAGGTAAAGAAGAGACATCAAAATCACACTAAGCTAACTCATTCATGAGAGGATGAGCAAATGAAAATGAAAGTTTGTGATGTGTAAATTAGATGAGGTACATAAAGAAATGCCAAAACCAAACCTCTGTTAAATAACCTTTAAAAAAACAACAATCTTCTAACAAATTATTTCCCGCAATAGGAAGGACTTTAGATGCAAAGTGAAGAACAGTTTGTGAAACTGAAGTCAGACTAGCATAAATAACCACAAAATGCAAATATAGAATGCAAAAAATTCAACCTTACAGAAATAAACATATATGCAAAACAAAAAAAGGAAGTGTGTATTAAATAATACATAAATTGAAATTTAAATATAGCTCAAAAAAGAAAAAAGACACCAAACCTTTAAAAAAAGCACAAAAATCCAATTACAATGGTCAACAAAGATTAAAAACAGATTAAAAATAATAATGATAATAATAATGGGTTTTTTATCTCTTGGATAAACAGGAACCAACTGGTGAGCACAGATAGCCAGAGTGACAACATGGTGAGCTACGGTGTGAGGAACAGCATCGCTTCCTATCTGTCCTTGTCTGGCCAGGAAAACCCTCAGCAGCAGCGAGCAGAACGCAGAAAGAAGAAATCTAAATCTGTGTATGCCATTCCTGAAAGCAATAATGCAGATTTCCAATATGAAGAAGACTTCTAATGACAGAACTGGATCAGTTTGAAGGAAGTAAAAAATGATTGAGAGGAAGCCTGCAGAGACTCCATGATATCTACTACAGCTCCTAGGTAACAGTCGAAAAATCCATGGACCCAGCGCTGGTCAGAGTACCTCAGTCATAAAAGTGAGTTTAAATATCAGCACTTTGGAATCTTTTAACAGTAAATTAAGTACTCACACTTTAAAGCAAATATAAAGATTGATGATATTTTATGTGAACAGTGTGTGAATGGGTTTGATGTGTGGATATACAGCACATGGCTTCAGTAACAGAACCAAGCATTATTGGAATAGGAAGTATGTTGAATACATATAAGTACTAGTGGTTCAAACTAATTCTCTTTGTCTGGAGATGAGATTAATGTTCATTGACCAAAGCATGTCTAACTAAGACCACACACACGTCTCTCTCGCCCTATATTATTTCAGTTTATTAGATAGACAGAGAGAGCTATAGATCTATATTTGTTTTATTTCACTTTCATTGTATTCATTCATCTGTACCTTATGAGGTTGTCATAAGTCATATCATTTTCTATCCGCCTTGGGTTACACGGTTAATGAATAAAATTTGTTTACTGTTTGGAGTAGGGCTGCAACTAACGATTATTTTGAAAATCGATGAATCGGACGATTATTTTTTCGATTAATCGATGAATCGGACACAAAATATTTTTTTTATATTAACCTCTTTATTCCAAAATAAACATTTTAGACAGAACAAACAAGCACACAAGTACAGGTTGCTCATTAACTGTACTGGTGCTATATGAAAAATAAATGTTTGTGTTAAAACTACGCAAACTTACATGAGAAATGTAGCTGTACATCCACAAAATATAGGCTACTTTGTTTCATAAAGCGCAAAAAGAGACAGGCATTTTTGTTTTTTAAAGCCCCTAAGGGGTTCAAACAATAGGCCCCCCCATTTCATCAAATGAGTTTTTTTTAGACTTGAAGAGTTCTGCCTTTTAAGACAGGAAAGTATAGCAGTTAAAGTTGCTACTTGAGAAAATACTGAACCATAGAGATAAAAATAGCCCTGTGATTCAAATTATAAATTGTATTTGGAATAAAAATGAGAGAACTAGGGGTGGTAAAAAAACACATCCTCCAAAGACAGATATTTACATGGGAATGTGGCATATAATTAATTGACATATTACTGATCTTGCTGGATTTTATTCTGCTTTACTTCCATAAATTGCAGGATCTTCTTTACTTTATCTTTGCGAGAAGATTTAAACTTTAAAAGCCTTGCCCTCATAATTTGCAAATTTATTTATTTATAAAGAAAATATAAACGCTGCTTAAGCTAATTCAAATGAAATTAAAAGTAAAATAAGTAGCCAACCTTATCACTGTCTGTAACCTACTAACATGGTAAGGAAAGCATCAGATGAGCTACCTGAGAAACTAACTTACGTTTCCCCACTTTAAAATGAAACAAACATGGTTACTCATCCTGCTGATCAGCTCTCTTCACTGCCATTGAAGGCTCCAACGTGTTTTCTTTTCAGGTGCTGCGTCATAACAGTGGTGCTTCCGTGCCATGTTCATTTGTTTTTACAAAAGTTGCATGTTACGACTTTTTTCACTTTACAAAGCGCAGGCTATTTTAATTATTGTGATCAATTTGCGCCGTCAATCCCGGGGCATGCGCGCTTCATTTGCAGTCTGGACGCTGAGGGTAAACTCCTCACTAAAATCCTGCGGCTCGGACTGGAGCGCTGAGAGGGATTCTGTGGGAGAGGGAGAAAGGCGTTGGGATGGGGGAGGCGCCCCACGGCAGCAGCTGCCGCTGGAGGACAAGAGTAGGAACGATACATGCTTTCACGTAAGAGTCTCCAAAAGCCGCCAGTGACACCGTAAAAAGTCGCCAGATTTGTCGCTAGTCGCTTTTTAAAAAAATAGTCGCTGGAGGGGTCTGAAAAGTCGCTGAGTTGGCAACACTGCAACTGCGGCGCTGACTCGCTCCGCCATATTTTTTTTCTTCCACGGGATGACGGCGGCGGCGGATGACGCATTAATCGCGCGACACAACTAATCGATGATTAAATTCATTGCCAACGCTTTTAAAAGTCGATTTTTATCGATTTTATTGATTCGTTGTTGCAGCCCTAGTTTGGAGATGAAGAAAGCATGACGTGGTCCATGTGTTGCATCTCAAAGGTATTGAGTATGAAACATTTTGAAAGTATGTGGTAATAAAATGTAAATTAGAAATGGGCTATATGATGTGATAGCATCTCTTAAAACAGAAAAGTTAAAATTATACCTACTATTACAAAAATGATTTGTTTTTATATTTCTTACTGCAAATTCAAAACATTGAATTTATGGTGGGTTGCTTTCTTTCAGCTTTATCACCCTGGCTGTTTGTGTTTTTGCAAAAAGAAAATGTTTTAAAACCTTTAAGTAAAGAAAAAAAAATCCAGGTTTTCGTTCAGACAGTGCAGGTGTTTGAAGCAGCTCCAACAGGAGGGCTGACCCATTCTCTGCTAACTGGAATGCAATATTGACCTGATAATCTGAGCTGTTAAACGTGAAATAAGACTACGCCAATTAAATATTTTCAAATTTAGTACAATGAAATGGCTTAAAGAAATATGGCCAAAAATTAACAAACGATGCAGGATTTTAGTTTCTATTTTTTCAAGTCAGTTGAAGGTGATGAAAATTCACTGTTCTGCTTTATTTAACTACACAGTAAGCTTTATTGCTTTTACATATATTTCTCCACTAATTTGTGAAATGTCTGTCATATATTAGTATTTGTTATTAAATGTGCAGCTTATGACCTTTTCTACTTACAATTGAAACAACTACCTTTGTATAGTCATTTATATATTTGTTTGCAATACTGTAAACATGGTTTGCAGTGTTTTTCTATAATATTTTAAGCCCTTCTTAATAATCTTTTAAAAATATATTTATTCTTCGTTTTCCTAAATGTTAGTGACTTGAAACAAGGTGGCAGAAAATAAAAATGTTGTTTGTCAATTCTGGGATTAAAATACTTGGGACTTTTTTTTTTACCTTAGTAATTTGTGTGGGTTTTTTTCTACTGCTCTTGAAACTCCTGGAAAATGTATTAATATCAGCTTAATGTATGGGGAAGCTTTGACATTGTTTAGCTAGGAAGGTGGAATCTAAAGCAACCACCATGCATGACATCTATGCTGCCATACTGTGAAAAATAAAAAGTTCCCTGAAACTATAGTGAGTGATCTTTATTTTGCTGCAAAATTTCCATAAAAATATTTAAACTTTAAACCCTATTTGATCATGTTATTAGTAGATGAACTCCCGGCGAGTAAATATCAACCACACAAAAATGAAATTATTTTTTACGGAAAACAATTCAAAGCTTTTCCAACTTGATCATACTTGGTTCTAAAGCTATTTCATCTTCTGCATTATTTACAGATATGGCCTCAAATTTTTAGAATCACCAGATGTAGGCTATATTTAGATTTAAAAAGAAACAAAAAAGCTGCATTGTTCTTACTCTGTCTAGGTTATCTACATTTACGTATAGCTCTAAATCTATATACGGAAACACACGTCCAAAAATGCATGGTGAAATAAGGCTGAGTCACGTGTCAGTTGGTTAGTTGTAGAGGAAAAGGTCAAGATAATTATACGTGGAAGGCATGTTCAAACAGAAGTGTGACTTCTGACTGAGTTTCAAAGTCATATTAGTTACAAACTGAAAAAGATCGGAATTTTGCAAAACAACATTATCCCTAAATAAATTCTGTTTCCTGTCTCTAATTTTTTTTTTTTACCTGTGCACAATATCAACGCGATATTTATGCTACAAAAAAAAAAAATTGGTAACATCTTGACTACACAGCTAAATTACTGCATTATTTAGTTTGTAGTTTTTATATCACATTGAGGTGGTTGTTTATGTTGGAAAGATTTGACCCAGAAATATTTTCAAAACGCATGATGTACATTTGGTAAAACTTTTGCATTTACTTCATTCATAATGTAAACAATACAGGAAAGAGGCGTGCATCATGCAGTTTAAATCATGTGGACTTCTAAGGGCATATGATTTGTCAACAGCCCATAAATCTTTATTTTCAGTTGCTGCTAATTACATTGTAGCAGCAACTGAAAGAACAAATATTCAAGAAAAAAAAATGCCTAAAAGGGAGGATTTCAACTTTAGGTACCATACCAGCCAAACCTCTCTCTCAGCAAAGGGATAAAGTGATATTTATAAAGGCTAGCCACAGAGTGGTTTTGTAAAACAGAGAACAGAAGCAGCTAAAAATCTAGCTTTTGCTCGCACTTTTGGTCTTCATTTTTGTTTTGATGGTGAAGCTGCACAGTAGTTTTTTTTTACCAGTCAAAATGTTTTTGTTTTTTCTTCCAATAACAATCTGTTTCACACAAACACACTGTATAAGCTTATCTATAATGCTTTTTTTTTTTTTTACAGCAAAATATCTTTGGTCCCAGGTTCCTGATGTTACACATAGATAGATTTCATTAAGTCATTTTGTACAAACAAGTGTAAACAAAAAGAAATTTCGTTAAGTACAGCTCTCTAGACTATTTCATTTTTTTGAAGTGCAGCCTTGATGAAGGTAAGCAGTTACCAGTCATTTGTGTCAGACACTAATGAAAAACCGTCCCTTCCGCGATGATTATCATGGGAAAATATGCAAAGGGGCAAAGACTGAAATTTCATTCAATCTAACAAAAAAATAAAAAAATAAAAAAAATCCACATCAGCAGATATTTCAGACTCATAGTTTCAGGGCTGGCCGAAAACATAAGTGAACTAAGTGGCTGCTTGGGGTCCCACAACAACTAGCCACCCCCCAAAAAGAAGCAAAACTTATTTTCATGTATAAAGACTCCTATATAAATATGGAAACAAAGACACACAGCATGCCAACATTACAGATTTTTTATTTTTTTATTTTATAAATATAGCAAGAAGAAATTAATACATATGTGTCAGTCTTTGGGTCAGACAGAGAAAGACAAAACGGGACCAGTTTACACTGCTCTGATCAGGAGAGGTAAACTTTGCCTGTCTGGAAAATGTTCCAGACATCCAAAGGCAAAGATTATCTCATTTACTCTCTTACATAACCCAAAATTCTTACTTTTACCCAAATCTTTGGGGATATCTGTTAGATTTCTTACAATAATACCATCAGTGAATTTCCTAACAGTGTCAGAAGAACAGTGTAACATAAAAAGTAATGTGTCGAAAAAGTAAGTTTATGTTTTCAGATAGGACTTTTTTTTATAAAGATACAAACATACACATTTTTAAGAGCCTCTCATTCAAATTTTAATTTTTTATTTTTTTTTCTTGCAGGTTTCTAAGAACATGCTTAGTATTGTATTATCTAATTATGTGTGTTTTTGTATCATTTATTATTTTTCTTGCTATTTTATTTATTTTTTGATGGTCTTGAACCACAGGTTATTTTTTGGAGACTGCTGTTGCAGCTGAAACCAAAAAGTATAAACCACAAACACTTTACCTGTAAATAGATGGCATGCTAATTTATTTTATTTTTTTTTAGTAATGCTGGATGATGCATTC